GTGGAATACCCCAATAGGGAATCACATCTAAAGGGAAGCAGACCCTGTAATTTTCCTCATTAGAGCCCTGCAAGTGCAGCAGCTGATTATTTATGAAACTACTCCCATTACATTCACTTTCCCCATGGGCACAAACAACTTTCTTCAGATGAACAAAAGGTAGAAATCTGCCACAGGGTTTGTTAAAATCTTTGCAATGTACTGTACATAGATCACCCAGAGGGGAGTGTTGTTTTCTGCAAGTAGCTATGCAGGGCATAGGCCCTACAAGGCAAGTGACCACTGAACACCAATGATGGGGCTCCAAATACTGAGTCAGGGGCATTTATTACTCCCACTTCCCCTGACCACAGGCGTATCTATTGCTCCCATTAATGCAGAAACATTTTTATACACCTACTGGCCCCAGTCCAGTACGCAGTCTGTCAGGCAGTGAACGAACCCAAAAGTTTTCAGACCCCTGACATAGGGAGTTACTGACCAGGTACAAGTTTTAAATGGGGGGCTTTTCTATATAATTTCGGACTTGATGGCTGGATGCTTTCCAATTACAGCAACTCTCAAGAGTACAATCAGGTCCATAAATATTTGGGACATCGACGCAATTCTAACATTTTTGGCTCTATACACCACCACAATGGATTTGAAATAAAACGAACGGTGTAGGAATTACAACAGTTTGCATATATGCCTCCCACTTGTTAAGGGACCAAAAGTAATGGGACAGAATAATCATAAATCAAACTTTCACTTTTTAATACTTGGTTGCAAATCCTTTGCAGTCAATTACAGCCTGAAGTCTGGAACGCGTAGACATCACCAGACGCTGGGTTTCATCCCTGGTGATGCTCTGCCAGGCCTCCTACTGCAACTGTCTTCAGTTCCTGCTTGTTCTTGGGGCATTTTCCCTTCAGTTTTGTCTTCAGCAAGTGAAATGCATGCTCAATCGGATTCAGGTCAGGTGATTGACTTGGCCATTGCATAACATTCCACTTCTTTCCCTTAAAAAACTCTTTGGTTGCTTTTGCAGTATGCTTTGGGTCATTGTCCATCTGCACTGTGAAGCGGCGTCCAATGAGTTCTGAAGCATTTGGCTGAATATGAGCAGATAATATTCCCGAAACACTTCAGAATTCATCTTGCTGCTTTTGTCAGCAGTCACATCAATAAATACAAGAGAACCAGTTCCATTGGCAGCCATACATGCCCACGCCATGACACTACCACCACCATGCTTCACTGATGAGGTGGTATGCTTAGGATCATGAGCAGTTCCTTTCCTTCTCCATACTCTTCTCTTCCCATCACTCTGGTAGAAGTTGATCTTGGTCTCATCTGTCCATAGGATGTTGTTCCAGAACTGTGAAGGCTTTTTTAGATGTCGTTTGGCAAACTCTAATCTGGCCTTCCTGTTTTTTTTGAGTCTCACCAATGGTTTACATCTTGTGGTGAACCCTCTGTATTCACTCTGGTGACTTTGACACACATACACCTGCACCTCCTCCTGGAGAGTGTTCTTGATCTGGCCAACTGTTGTGAAGGGTGTTTTCTTCACCAGGGAAAGAATTCTTCGGTCATCCACCACAGTTGTTTTCCGTGGTCTTCCGGGTCTTTTGGTGTTGCTGAGCTCACCGGTGCGTTCCTTCTTTTTAAGAATGTTCCAAACAGTTGTTTTGGCCACGCCTAATGTTTTTGCTATCTCTCTGATGGGTTTGTTTTGTTTTTTCAGCCTAATGATGGTTTGCGTCACTGATAGTGACCGCTCTTTGGATCTCATCTTGAGAGTTGACAGCAACAGATTCCAAATGCAAATAGCACACTTGAAATTAACTCTGGACCTTTTATCTGCTCATTGTAATTGGGATAATGAGGGAATAACACACACCTGGCCATGGAACAGCTGAGAAGCCAATTGTCCCATTACTTTTGGACTTTTACCTTAACAAGTGGGAGGCACACATATGCAAACTGTTGTAATTCCTACACCGTTCATCTGATTTGGATGTAAATACCCTCAAATTAAAGCTGACAGTCTGCAGTTAAAGCACATCTTGTTCGTTTCATTTCAAATCCATTGTGGTGGTGTATAGAGCCAAAAAATGTTAGACTTGTATCAATGTCCCAATATTTATGGACCTGACTGTATATTTTAAAATTAATATATAAATTGCCTATGCAGGACAAAAGCAAAATGTTCATACTTAACATTCACATGTATCATATGGGAGGGGGGCGCGGGCGGGGCGACACCAGATATAGACGTCTGGATCATCAAATTGTACAGGTTTACCTCCAGGTATAAGGATTTTCTAGCAGAAGCAGTGTTGGTCCCATGGGATTAGTATCTCAAGGACCAGTTTACCACCTTGTCTAACAATTGCTAGCTTTAACAGCATGGTTACTGAAGTGTAGGTTCTGAGACACAGAGGTTTATCTAAATCTGTGATTTCCTTGATGCGAAAAGATAGAAAGTCTACTTCTTGCAAGGTCCATTATCGTATTTGAAGGCATATTTCACTTGGTGTGAGGCTTTCACCCTAGAAGATTCTCTGTAGGACAAATCCTTGCCCTCTTACAGATGGGTAGGCATCAACATTTTGCCATCAGCTGCATTACGGGTCAGGTCTCTGCGTTTTCAATCCTATTCTCTAGGCTGCTGGCTTCCTAACTTTGTGCAGGGTGTATCTCTGAGATGTGCTTTTTGAACCCAATGGATGTTATCCCTTTCCACTCATGGGGTTGAGTTTCTATTTGCCATCAGCTCTGCAAAGTGAAGGTCTGAGCTGGGGCCCTTATCCTGTAGAACGCTTTCTGGCCTTACACAAGAGCAAGGTGGTGTAGAAACCTAGACCATCCTTCCTACCTAAAGATGTTTCTACCTTTCACTTCAATCAGGCCATCATTCTCCTGACTTTGGTTCTAGATGATTAGTATGCCCTCCATTGCCAGAAAGTAATTTATCTCTATCATTCCTGTTGGTCCATTAAGGGTGAACCACCTTCTCGTTTCAACATTTCTCATTAGTTCAGATTGACCAAGTTTATTTTGTTACCCTTTTCTGTCAAGGCACACTCCACTTGATCTTTAAGTGCCTCTTTAACCAGCTTAAAGTTTCTCAGATTTCAAAAGCTGACTTCTGCTCTTCAATACCTACACTCTCAGAGGCTTACTAGGTGGATGTTCAAGCCTCATATGTCACTTCCTGACATCATTGCTTACTACTTGTGAAATCTGTGAACGATCACAGAGGTCACATGGTACAAGGCTATTCACAACAGCCTTGTACCATGTGACAAACTGTGACCTCTCACAGTATTTCTCAATGGCTGCAAGAATACAGCCAGAGACAAGGAGGAATGATTGCTTTTATAGGTGTAAAAGGAATCAGTGTAAAAAGAGAAAAAAAAAAAAAAATCAACCCCCACAAGTAGTACAGTGTCACTATGTTGACACTGTACTGCTAGGGTGACATTGTTAAAAAAACCCAAACAAATCATAATATAAAAATGTAAAGAAATTATAACTTTTGGTTATAAACTAATTTGTTTTTTTATTTACTAAAAATATAGCTGAATACATTTTGGCCAAAGATTTATGAAGAAAGATTGTTTATTTGAAAAATTGTATAAGAAAAACACTTTTTCAAAATTGGACATTTTCATTTATATAGCAAAAAAAAAAATAAAAATCCCAGTGGTGAATAAATACCACCAAAATAAAGTTTTATCTGTCTCAAAAAAATGCTAAACAATTCATATGGGTACAGTTTTGCATGACCGCGCAATTGTCAAAAGAGTGATAGCACTGAAAGTTGAAAATTGGCCTGGACAGGAAGGGGGTGAAAGTGTCCGGACTTGAAGTGGTTAAAGGACAACTGTCATAAGAGCAATCAGTTGCCCTTGCTGTCAGCATGGTCATTTGGTTCTAACACTACCTAGGCTTAGGTTCACACCTATGCAGTCTGTGTTTTATCCGTTTCTACAGTGCGTTTTTTCCACATTTTGCTTTTTTTTTTTCCTCCTCCTTGCTGATTGACAGATTTTAAAAAAACACTGCAAAACCTCACTCCATGCTTTTCTGCAGCATTTCCATTATAGTCTATAGAACCATAAAGGCAACTTTTTGCATTTAGAAAAAGTCCCTGACCCTTTCCAAAAAAACGCAGAGATGTGAACGTGTCCCACAAGAAATCATGTTAAATGGACTGTAGTGCGTTGCTGCGGAAACCGCTTAGGTGTGAACCTAGGGTAAGTTAGTATGTAGATCAGGCCAACTTCTCTTTCTGCAGTATAAAAGCCAAAGAGCTTAGAAAATAACATTTCAGCAGATGGTCCGTTAGTGCAGCTAGCATATTTCTGTTAAGACACTTAACACTTCGCCTTAAAGGGAAGGTTAACCACCAGGTAAGCTTGCTATACATTTCCCAATGTAGATGCAGCTATAATCTAGCACAGGGTTCAATTTATAAATATAGTATGTTTATATAATCAGGACAACAGACCTCTAGATTTATAGAAAATATAACTGTCAGGTTTTAATTAGGTTTCTGCTTTTGGCAACAATGGAGAACTTTGTGGAAGGTTGTTTTGCACCAGGTCTTTTAGGATTGGTCACTGTAAATATAAGTACGGGCATGTGCTGTCCCCTAGTTTTTCTAGCCATAAATGCCTCTCCTTGCATGCACAACTTTAAAGCCATAAAAAAATGCATATAAAATGACAAAGGCAGACACATTATTTGGTAACACGCAGTGACAAGTAAGAAAAAATATAAACCGTTTGGTGGAGGAAAGAAAGTTGCCTTACAGGAGGATTATCTCCACATCTCAAATTTGATCAGTAATCAAAAACCAAGGTCAAACTCCATCATTAATAATGATAAAAAAAAAAAAAAGAATATAATATTAACAAATAAAACATATGTACATCACTACACCTACAAAAAGAACCAAACTAATAGTGCAATGACCAGTCTACGGAAACGGTGGTTTGTATTTCGCTTCATATATCTTCCACTTGTTGTATGGTGTAGTTTAGGATTTTGTCATGACCCTCAAACTTGAAGTATCCTTGAAATTCTTCTTCTTCTGTAGCAAAAGGGGCAACCAAATGATATCATCTGGCCACATACTGTCAAAGGGGATCTTCTCCAGAGGAAACCACTGAGGCCGCATTTCTGTGAATCAACCAAAAGAACTAATAATCACGTCTATTACACAATCCTGATGATAGGAAAAAGCAGTACTACTACAAATTAAAGCAAGCCCATGAAGAAGAAGAAAAAAAAAAAATCAAACAAATCAAAGTAAAGACACCCTGTCAGTGTTTGTTACATTTTGTGTATTTATTTAGTCATTCTATCATCATCTTCAACAGTGGTGGTCAACTTACCTGATATAGGGGACATCAAGTGGGGTCCCTGACATCAAAAGGGTCATACATATTTAATAAACGTAATATTATAAAAAGCTGTGATACACTGAAGACGTGCAACAGGAGATTGTCAGAGGCTGCAGACACATTACATGAGACTGCTTAAAGCAGAACTTCTCCCAAAAGGGGAAGTTATGCTTTTTTTTCTTCCTCCTCCCCCACCCTCCTTCTCCCATGTTTGGTGTCTTTTGGAGGAAGGGGGGGGGGGGGGGGGGTAAGAGTGGGTGCCTGATTTTGATGGGCTCCACCCGTCTAGGCAAATGGAGAAGTTCCCCCCCTTCCCCCGCAGCCTCTTGGGACATGTCAGATGATCCAGAAACAATTACGGAGCACAGCGTGGCTCGTGCATGCCCAGCTGGCTGTGAAGCCGCAAGGAGTCACAGTCGGCTGCCCACAGTTAAGATACCGGCGCCTGGACCTGAAGACAGGACGGAAAGCTGGGTCAGGGGAGTCCATTCCTGGATCCTGGGATAGGTAAGTGTGTGTGTGGGGGTTTTTTTTTTTTTTTTTTTTTTTAAAGTCAACAGCTACAGTATTTGTAGCTGCTGGCTTTTACATTTTTGTTTACAGGATGAAGACCCTCTTGAAGTTCACTGCTACTACAGCCCCTTAACAAATCAATTCTTCATGATCTGTGCTAGCCACACCCCCCTTATTTACTTGTGCTACATTTGATATTTCTCTCTGCACTAAAAAAAAAAAAAAAAAAAAAAAAAAGTACAAAAATATAAAAATAGGGAAAATGGGATGGATACCACAGGAAAAAGGATAGCATGACAGTAACACACCAAAACATTTGAAGATTTTTTTTTTTTTTTTGCATTACTGAGTTCCCAATGGAACAAGTCCCATCTCCCTAGGTGCCCTGTAACACTAGCTATAACGTTGGGCAGGATGCTCCAACCCCAAGGCCTTCCCTGTGCCGATGTTTGTGTTGGGCAAGTGCTAAGAGCCAGAGACAGGCTTTACAAAGCACAGCAGCCATCTACATGCTAGCTGAAGTGTAAGGCGACATTGCAACTAATTCTACAGGCCATTAAGGGGGAAAGAACAAACTACTTATTTTACATGTACTTTGTCCCATTGGAAATTCAAAAAATTTAGTTATTTACCTATCAAGAGCAAGTCTAAAGGATTTTTTTTTCTTTTCCTGACTTGAGTAAGCACAAAAACATTGCATTAAACTACTACATTCCAAAATCAGCCACAGCTGATCCCATTGTAAGCACTCCAGGTACTGAGAAAGTCACACTGATCTAAATCCAAAAACAAAATACAGTATATTGCAGCTTACCAGTCTTTAGCTGTGGTGGCTGTATTAGTTTTCTGGATTTTTTTTCTTTTTTATTACCTGGTGTTCCTGCACACTTCCTATTCTAGGGTGACAACACTCACTCACCATGCTATATTTAGTGAAGTGCAGCATCATCACTCTAGGCTGTTCTCCTGGTTTGAACTACAAAACACCCCACACCCCCTTCATCCCCATTACATAGAAAGGAGATATTATTTAGTTCATAGAAGATAACTGGGACAGATGAGAACATTATAGGAGATTTCAGTTCTGTACAGAAAAGAATGACAAGGACATTGGAAATCTGGAAGAAGCAACAGGTAATTTTCTATACCTGCAGAAAATGTACTTACATCGAAAAAAGGAAAACTAAAGAAGGCTGGGACATACTGGCTGAAAAAAATCAGATGATTCAACAGAAGCTGGCCAATATTCGGCCAGCATGTACAGTAGCCTGTCCAGCTTGTCTAATGGGCATGCTGGAAAACCAATAGCTGACCGGCAACTGATCAGTGCTCACAACCAATGGCTGCGAGTGCTGATCAGTGTGTGTCCCCCCCATCAGAACACAACAGCTCACCATGGGAGATCGCTGTACTATCAACACTTATGATCACTTGTGTTAATACAGCAATCTGTCTTTTTTTTTTTCCAACCATTAGGACTGGTACGATGCAATATCAATTTTTTTTAACTTAAGTACTTTCACTCAGGGTTGCTCAGCCTTTTGAAGAGCGGGGGCCATTTAGGTGATTTGGTAATTGGTCACAGGCCACAATGAAATTATATGGTTCAGAAGTTCAAGTTTTTATTTTGAATAGCATAATGAACATTTTTCTCCTGCATCCGCTGAATGCCAGCAGGAGGGAGGAGGAGAAAGAACGATTTCTGCAGTTTCAGGAGGAAAATGGAGAGGATCGGTTCTTGTTCATGCCGCCCTTCAGTGTAAAACAGAACATGACAGGAAGGCCACACAGGCCCCCTGGAGCATGGGATGGAGTTGCCACTGCGACTCCTGGTGCTACACCAATGGTTGGGGTGTGTGGTAAAAACATATCTCAACTATGGAGTTTTACTGCCCCCAAACCGCAAATGTAAATCAACTTTTACGGTCCTAAGCCCCCTATAAGGCTGCTTTTACATTGATGCACTGCAGGTTATTATTATTATTACATCAAGTTTATATAGCACCAAAGGGTTTGCTCAGCGCTGATCCACTTTGCCAGAGACTTCTTTTATATGTTGCGGATGTGGCACATTTTTGAAATTGTACCAAAACTCCTGCATTCAGTTTGAGGTCAAAGGCCACATCAGAGGGCTCCTAGGGCCACATTAGGTCTAGTTTACATAGGAAAAAAAAAAAAAAAAAATTAGGAAAGTAGTTGCTGTACCTTCACTTTCAACTGGTTCTCCTTGAAAAGAATCTGCTCGGAACACGTGGACATCCAAAATCTCAGTGTTGCCTACAAATTCAAATTTTATCTCACCGATTTTCTGTAGTGTGTCAACAGTTAGACCGCTTTCTTCCCAGAGTTCCCTAAATGAAGAAAGTATATGTTCAGATTTGGGAAGTGAGGGGTAGGAATAACAGAGAGGTAAATGTTTCCCCAACATGTTAAATACCACCGACAGCATAATACACGTCTTGTAGTTGTATTCAAAAGTTCATAATTAGTCATGTTCCCAGCTGAACAGAATATGCCTTTTAACCAGTCTAAGTGTATTAAAAAAAAATAATAAAAATAGTGGAAAAAAACATGAAAATTATGTCACTTATACCCCCTAATTTTATGTCATGATATGGGAGTAGAGTGTTAAAGCGATATTAAAGGTTCTGCTTTTTTTCTTTTTTTTTTTTCAATATAAACAAACACATAACTACCTGCTCTATGCAGTGGTTTTGCACACAGCAGCCCCAATGCTCTTCTTCTCAGGTCCCCCACCGGCGCTCTGGGTTCCTCCCCCTCAACCAGTTCCCCCAATAGCAAGTTACTTGCTATGGGGAAAACAGTGCATGCTTGCTCCCGAGCCCTGCTCTATGCGTCTGTAAGACACAAATAGTTGTGGCTTGGCCTGGCCCCCACTCACCTATTATTGGCTCACTGGCTGTGGCTCCTGTGCACATCGCCAGACCGAGATGGGGCTCAGATGAGTATTGGGGGGGGGGGGGGGGGGGGTAGCAGCACATAGAATGCATGAAGGTAAAAAACTTTCAGCCTTTACAACCACTTCAAGCTCTTTTAGCCTAGGAAGGTCTGCTCACACTACCTAAACAGAAAAAATAAATCATGACAAGGATTGGCATGAATTGGAATATAAAGTAGAACTGAAGCAAACACTTTTTTTCATTTTATGTGGAGTGAGTTAAGGTTATAACCCCAGAAATAGTGTCCCCATTGGAAGATTTCCCCTCTAATCCTGTTCTAGACCCACTCAAAATGGGGGATTTTCTTTCATTTCAGTGGTAATGGTAACCAGGACAAATAGAGATGGCGAATCTTCCCAAAGGGGACAAAGACAGCCATAAAACTCGGCAGGTGTTCTAATCCCTCTACACGCTATCTAAAAAACTTTAAAGGGTTAGTTAACCTGTAAAAAAAAAAAAAAAAAAAAAAAATTGTGAAGCGGCTTTCTCTCCTCTCTAGACCGTACTGTCATCCCTGCACTAGGAAGAGAAAGCCGCAGGGATTTCAAATCCCCAGCTTTTCCTTCTGTGATAGCATGGGTTTGGTGCAGGAAGGTTTCACTCCAGTGCGAGCTCAGGCTACCCGATTTTGACAGCTTCCTGTTCCCACTTCTGCTGCGACCGCCTAGGCCAGTGATGGCGAACCTATGGCACGCGTGCCAGAGCTGGCACGCAGAGCCATCTCAGTGGGCACGCCAGGAAGATGAGGCACACGGACCACGCACACTGACCGGCCATCCAGATCTCGTCCACACTGGACCCCATCAAACTACATCTCCCACATGTCTCTGGGGCCAGGGTGGGTGTGAACGAGAGGAAACGGCTCCTATGTGGATCTGGCACCAGGAGTGATGTAGCCGGGGATGGGCGTGGAAGAGAGGAAGAGGCTCCCACACTGCTCCGGGGCCAGGGCCGATGTGTTCAGCGTGGATGGGAATGAGCTGCTGGGTTCGGAAGCCACACTGACACTGCCAGAGGTGAGATTAACTGCTTGCCAACCATGCTATAGCCAAAAGATGGCTACAGCGTGGTTGTCTAGTTCTGGGAGGGCGTCCCAGAACGCAAACCCAGTGGCACACACCCTGCGCTGCCGGTGATCGCTGTGTCCTACAGATACAGCTGATCACGTAATAAGGTAAAAGGCCAATCACAGCAGGCTTTTACCACGTGATCAACTGTATCCAATGACACAGCTGATCACAATGTAAATACAGTTGCTGGTTATCGGCTGCACGCTGTCACAGATTGAAGAAAGTACTGCAGATAAGCGGCAAATGTGACAGGGGAAATCTGCACTAATAATCAGGGCATTGATTATCAGTGCCGTTCAGCAGTGCCCAGCAATGCCACCCAGCAGTGCCACCCGTCAATGATGCCCAGCAGTGCCGCTGATCAGTGCTGTCAGTGCCTCCAGTTGGTGCTATCAGTCAGTGCCGCTTATCAGTGCCCATCATTGCTGCATATCAGTGCATCATCAGTGCCTCCTCATCAATGCCCACCAGTGCCGCCTCATCAGTGCTACCTATCTGTGCAGCCTCATCAATGCCCATCAGTGCTGCCTATCAGTGCAGCCTCACCAACGCACATCAAAGAAGAAATATTACCGGTCTGCAAAATTTTATAATAGAAGCAAAGAAAACCTTTTATGTTTTTAATTTTTTGCTCTTTTTTCATTTATAGTGCAAAAAATAAAACACCCAGTGGTGATTAAATACCACCAAAAAAGCTCTATTTGTGTGAAAAAATTAGTGTTGCATGACCGCACAATTGTCATTGTCAAGTGCAACAGCACTGAAAGCTAAAAATTGGTCTGGGCAGGAAGGGGGTAGAAGTGCCCGGTAGGCAAGTGGTTAATTGCAGTGTTGGCACTTTGAAATAAAAAAAGTTGGTTTTGTGTTGCAGTTTTGGGCACTCGGGCTCAAAAAGGTTCGCCATCACTGGCCTAGGCGATCAGAAGCAGAAGCTGTCTCCCCCCCCTTCCCGTAGTCTTCTGGAACACGTGACAGGTCCCAGAAGACTACAGGACCATTTACAAGACGCATCGCTACTTGTGCATGAGCAGTGGGCACCCAACTGTGAAGCCACAAGCCCTCATAGCTGGGTGCCCACTCTTAAGATGCCAGCTGGTGAAACAGACTGCCTGAGTACACCGCTAGATCATAAGACAGGTGAGCGTCTGTTTTTTTTGTTTTTTTTAAAGTCAGCAGCTACAGTTTTTGTAGCCGCTGACTTATTTTTTTTGACTGGAGCTCCGCTGTAAATGAACAAGCTAAAGACAGATGCTGATTGGTTGTCATGACAATTCAGGTTCTGTCTGCTTCCATTCTGATAAATTCCCCCCCCCACAAGCCTTAGCAGGAGATTCGCTCATCCATGCTGTGTAGTGTGGATGGAGGAATCTGTTCAACTATCAGTTTATATTGAGTTTGTCTTAGTTTCCTGATGCAAGGTTACAATTCTTATTCACCTTTTTGCAGCTTGTTCAATTGTCTCTCCAGCCTGCAATTTGCCACCAAACCCATTCCATCGGCCAGCACCAAAACCACGTTTCTTCATGCCCAACAGTATTCTTGGGGGCTGGACAACGAGGACAAGTGTGAGCAGTTTTGATGTGAACATTGTCTCTAAGAAATTAAAGAAACAGATTATTTGGTGACAACGTTGCTTCAAAAAAAAAAAAAAATAAATAATAGTAATAAACTTTTTTCTAATACATTCTTCAGCCAAGGTTACTTTGTGTGCACAGTTCTAGGACTAATGTCTTAAATGACATTGTTGGGAGTAGAAAAGATCCTGGTGTCAGCTGGGGAAAAAAAAAAAAGGACCCATTGTTGTCAGTGCAAGGAATAGTGCCCCTTCCAAACTTTCTGAAAGAGCTAGACTGTGGCTATTTGGCAGTAGAAAAGATCCTGATGTCAGTGGGTGGAACAGTGCCCCATTGCTGGGGTCAGGGGGGTGGTGGGAAAATGCTCTCTCGCTGGGGTTGGTTTGAGGTGGAACAGTGCCCTGTAGCTATGGCTGGGTGTTTGAGGTGGAACAGTGCCCACTGCTGGGGTCTGGGGGGCATGGGTGGGTGTACGGAACAGTGTCCCATCACAGAGGTCGGGGGGGGGGGGGGGTAGAACAGTGACCCGTCACTGAAGTCGGGGAGGGGGGAGAACAGCGCCCCGCCGCTGGGGTGGAACAGTGCCTCGCCGCTGGGGTTAGCAGGTGGAATAATGCCCCATCCTTGGTGTCATTTAGGGGGGGGGATTATTCCTCATTGTTGGGGTCATTAAGTAAAATAAGTCAGTTTGTGAAACAGTGCCCCATCGCTGGGGTAACGGGGGTGGTGGGACAATGCTCTCTCGCTGGGGTTGGTTTGAGGTGGAACAGTGCCCCGTCACTGGGGGGTCGGGGTGTATGGAACAGTGCCCCGTCGCTGAGATCATATGGGGGGGGGGGGGGGGGGGGGGTGCAACAGTGCCCCATTGCTGGGGTCAGGGAGGCGTGTGTGCATGGAACAGTGCCCCGTCGCTGAGATCATGGGGGGGGGGGGGGGGGGGGGGGGGGGCAACAGTGCCCCATTGCTGGGGTCAGGGAGGAGTGTGTGCATGGAACAGTGCCCCGTCGCTGAGATCACAGTGCATGGAACCCCCGTCGCTGAGATCATGGGGGGGGGGGGGGGTGCAACAGTGCCCCATTGCTGGGGTCGGGGCTTGGGTGTATGGAACAGTGCCCCATCACAGAGGTCGGGGGGTGGGGTGGAACAGTGCCCCATCACTGAGGTCGGAGGCGGGGGGGGGGGGGGCGGTCAGTAGAACAGTGCCCCTCCACTGGGGTCGCAGGGGTGGACCAGAGCCATGCTGCTGGGGTCGCTGGAGTCAGCAGGTGGAATAATGCCCCATCCTTGGTGTAGGGGGGGGGGGAAATTATACCTCATTATTGGGGTCATTAAGTAAGATAGAGCCCCAAGGGCCAGACAAGTGCAAGCAAAGGGCCACATTATGGAGACCATTGCTCTAAAGAATACAAACATTGTGTACATGAAGCCAAGACCATCCTCCGTCCCCTCCACCACCTGCCTGCACCAATAATAACACCTCACACATTACCTGCTCCAGCCTCGGCTCCGATCCCCATGTACAGAGCACACACGTGGATTCCACCCGCGGGAAACAGCAAGTCGGCCTCACGTGATCTGCCAGGTTGTTACCACCGGCACCATTTTTAGCATGGGCAGTCGCTTTATTTTTTTTTTTTTTATTCATGTATGGATAAAAACAAAATGTTTTGGTTCAGTTTATAAGCACAGGCTGTACACAGCACTTTCAGAGTCACATAAATATAATTTAACCCGGTTTGAACGCAATGCCCCTAACAAAGATGGCCGCCGATGTTTCAGGATGAGCTGCTTCTTGTGACTCGGTGATGGCTGCTGTAAGGAATAGGTGAGTGTGGTGTACGGTATGTTTAGTAGTAGATCTGGGAAGAGCAGGTGTAGATAACAGGGTGATATATGTATAAATTAGACACTATGAGGGACAGGACAGGTGTGCAGAAACTTCCCATCTTGCATAGGTCATACAAAGACGTCAAAGGTCGTTCTAACCTGTTATTAAAAAGAACAACATGATTTTCTTTTCTCCCATGTGATGGCGCTGTGCCCGCAGTGCATGGGTTAACTGCTTATTTTGTCGAGGGGCTCACAAAAAGGCTATACTTACCCGATCCTTCAGAAAAACGTGCTCCCCCATGTCCAGCGGTGGACTGTTCCTGACGATGTCCTCATGTCCAAAGCCAGTCTATGGGCATGATGGCATCAGGAACAGTCCATTTACAAGACCGCAAGCAGGGGGGGCAGGAGCAGCGGGAACTGGTCTTGCGCTCGGAGGATCAGCAGATTAGGTAAGTATATCTCCACTCTTCAATCCCATATAAAAAAAAAAAAGAGTAGATAACCCATGCAGTGCGGGCACAACCCAACTGCATGGGAAAATAAAAAGTTCTTTAAGTGACATTGGTGGTCCTTGGTGAATGTACGACATGTACGTCATCTGACCCAGTAATGACCTACAAAGGAATAATACATCAGGATCCTTACAGTGCAGGCTAAATGGTAACATATTTGGCTGCATTCACGGATCACATGAAAAACACGTGTCACGCTTGTGGTGCCATTCATTATAAATGACGCAGGAAACCGATGCATGTGGGAAAGGTGCAATGCTCATGGCTCAAAAAGGTACACGGTGCACTTGTCATGTACAGGGTAGCCCATTTAAATGAATTGGCTGCCCTTTGCATGTAGTCCACAATTGCACACATTCACAAGACACTCAGATGTGAATGCAGTGTGTGCATAAAGTCGATCTAATGTGAGAATTTTCTGTTTTTCTGGATACAATGGGCATATCCCCTGTCAGATTTTACTGCATCTCATTAACTTTCCAGGAAACTTTTAAAATCTGTATTCCTGGGAGTGGGGGCAGGGCCTCTAGCACAGCATGCTTATTGGTGGGTGTGGCCAAACTGTTTTAAAGGTGGGAGTATAATAAAGGATAGCTACTGATTAGGGATGAGCTCAGGCATGTTTGGATCCTAGTTTAAACCCACCTGAGCTATCCCACCGATAAGGTGACATTCTATTGGTCCAATCATAAGCATCCGAGACGTTGTCTGCCCCGCATCTGCATGTATACTCACCCCTTGTTTGCCTATAACTGCAAGGCAGGGAATGCCTTGGTTGTTTATGATTGGCCCAGACAGTGACAGCTTCCTGGTGGGATAGATCAGGTGGGTTCAGACTAGGATCCTAACATGCCTAAACTCATCCCTTGTCCTGATCGCTGTCTTCCTGTGTCTCCATCATCCATGAAGGGGGAGTAGGTTGGAGATCACTGGTCTCCTGTGCGCCCATGGATGGGGAGTAGGGTGGCGATCACTAGTCTCCTGTACGTCTATGGATAGGGGGTTGGGTTGAGATCACTGGTCTCCAGTGCGTTCATGGATGGGGAGTAGGGTGGAGATCAGTGGTCTTTTATGTGTCTATGGATGGGGATTAGGGTGGAGATCATTGGTGTCTTGTGTGTACATGGTTGGGGAGTAGGGTGGAGATCACTGGTCTCCTGTGCATCCATGGATGGGGAGTAGGGTGGCGATCACTGGTCTCCTGTGCATCCATGGATGGGGAGTAGGATGGAGACCACTGGTCTCCTGTGAGTCCGTGGATGGGGAGTAGGGTGGTGATCACTGGTCTCCTGTGCCCTTTGGATGGGGAGTAGGGTGGCGATCACTGGTCTCCTGTGCATCCATGGATGGGGGGTAGGGTGGAGATCACTGGTCTCCTGTGTGTTTTTTATGCATGGGGAGTAGGGTGGAGATCACTGGTCTTTTGTGTGTCTATGAATGGGGAGTAGGGTGGAGATCACTGGTCTCCTGTGCGTCCATGGTTGGGGAGTAGGGTGGAGATCACTGGTCTCCTGTGCGTCCATGGATGGGGAGTAGGGTGGAGATCACTGGTCTCCTGTACGTCCATGGATAGGGGGTTGGGTTGAGATCACTGGTCTCCATGCGTTCATGGATGGGGAGTAGGGTGGAGATCACTGGTCTTTTGTGTGTCTATGGATGGGGATTAGGGGGAGATCATTGGTGTCTTGTGTGTACATGGTTGGGGAGTAGGGTGGAGATCACTGGTCTCCTGTGCGTCCATGGATGGGGAGTAGGGTGGCGATCACTGGTCTCCTGTGCATCCATGGATGGGGAGTAGGGTGGAGATCACTGGTCTCCTGTGCATCCATGGATGGGGAGTAGGGTGGAGATCACTGGTCTCCTGTGCATCCATGGATGGGGATGGGTGGTAGGGCATGGAGGGGATCACTGGTCTCCTGTGCATCCATGGATGGGGAGTAGGGTGGAGACCACTGGTCTCCTGTGCGTTCATGGATGGGGAGTAGGGTGGTGATCACTGGTCTCCTGTGCCTCTTGGATGGGGAGTAGGGTGGTGATCACTGGTCTCCTGTGCATCCATGGATGGGGAGTAGGGTGGAGATCACTGGTATCCTATGCATCCATGGATGGGGAGTAGGGAGGCGATCACTGGTCTCCTGTGCATCCATGGATGGGGAGTAGGGTGGCTATCACTGGTCTCCTGTGCTTACATGGATGGAGAGTAGGGTGGTGGTCACTGGTCTCCTGTGCGTCCATGGATGGGGAGTAGGGTGGTGATCACTGGTCTCCTGTGCGTCCATGGTTGGGGAGTAGGGTGGAGATCACTGGTCTCCTGTGCGTCCATGGATGGGGAGTAGGGTGGCTATCACTGGTCTCCTGTGCGTCCATGGATGGGGAGTAGGGTGGCGATCACTGGTCTCCTGTGCGTCCATGGATGGGGAGTAGGGTGGAGATCACTGGTCTCCTGTGCGTCCATGGATGGGGAGTAGGGTGGAGATCACTGGTCTCCTGTGCGTCCATGGATGGGGAGTAGGGAGGCGATCACTGGTCTCCTGTGCATCCATGGATGGGGAGTAGGGTGGCTATCACTGGTCTCTGTGCCTGTGCGTCTCCTGTGGTCCATGGGGAGTAGGGTGGTGATCACTGCTCTCCTGTGCGTCCATGGTTGGGGAGTAGGGTGGAGATCACTGGTCTCCTGTGCGTCCATGGATGGGACAGTAGGGTGGTGATCACTGGTCTCCTGTGCGTCCATGGATGGGGAGTAGGGTGGCGATCACTGGTCTCCTGTGCGTCCATGGATGGGGAGTAGGGTGGAGATCACTGGTCTCCTGTGCGTCCATGGATGGGGAGTAGGGTGGAGATCACTGGTCTCCTGTGCGTCCATGGATTGGGAGTAGGGTGGAGATCACTGGTCTCCTGTGCGTCCATGGATGGGGAGTAGGGTGGTGATCACTGCTCTCCGCCCATGGATGGGGAGTAGGGTGGCGACTGGTCTCCTGTGCGTCCATAGGGAGTAGGTGGCGATCACTGGTCTCTGGCGTCTCTGGTGTGTTCATGAATGGGGAGTAGGGTGGACATCACTGGTCTACTGTGCGTCCATGGTTGGGGAGGGTGGAGATCACTGGTCTCCTGTGCGTCCATGGATTGGGAGTAGGGTGGCAATCACTGGTCTCCTGTGCGTCCATGGTCATGGGGACTGGAGGGTGGCGATCACTGTCTCTGGTGTGTTCATGAATGGGGAGTAGGGTGGAGATCACTGGCCCCTATACATATGGAGGAATGAAGTTTGTTCTACTACTAGCCCCTGTGTGTCTACGGAACAGGAGTAAGGTGGTAGATCTCTGGCACACCCTGTGTGTCAGTGGGCGCGAGGAGTAGATTGGAGATCACTGGCTACCCATACATACCCTGCATGGAGGATTGTTGAGTGTCCTTATCACTGAGCCTGTGTCCATGGATGGAGAGAAGGGTGGTAGATCATTAGCCCCTATACATATCCTGCATGAAGGAATGAAATGTGGCCTAAACTTTGGTAGGGATGATCACGGATCTGTTTGAATCCTAGCCCGAGCCTGCCAGGAAGCTGTCACCTGTTCTGGGGCAATCATTTGCAGCCGGGGCAATCATTTGCAGCCGGGGCAATCAGCTGTCATTCCCAGGCTCAGATATATGCTTGTTTTTACAGTGCACAGATCTCTGCATCCTACAAAATGAGCCATAAAACTTTTTTTTTTTTGAGATAAAGGATTGTCATTACCCTTGCCAGTATTTTTTTTTATTTGTGACTGGGTCCCGTTAGAGAGATTCCGCTTCCTTACCAGGGAGTGAGAGGATATCTCACTAAAATGTTAGGAAATTCTCTCTAAGCTGGGCATACACATGTAGAATTTCCAAAAAATCATTAATGCAAAAATCTCAATACATTTGATGATTTTACAACTGTCATTCAAAATTTCATTTGCTTTTAATGTTCGGTTTTGGAATGAATGTAATTTACTGAACAAAACCACATTCACTGTTAGAAATTAATTTGTTCAATAAAAATTTTCCATCCTGCTGCTTCAAATTTTCTCCTCACTAGAGTCAAAAATGAATGTTGATTTAACACCACGAATGATTAGAAAAACAAACAAACTTTTAGAAAACAAAAAATTTCGAACAACATTCTACTGGTGTATAGCCAGCTTGACAACTTTCCTGCCACCCTATAGTAGGACTACTGTTGCAGGGCTGCAAAAAGTTACATATATATATACACGTGATTTCCATTACTGGGTAGGGGGCGTGCGCATGCGCCGCCCTACCTGTGCCGCCATTGGCAGCTAGGGATGTCAATCATTGGGTCCCAGCCAGAGATTCCCTGCCAGCACCCAGCGATCGCCGTGTAAACTTGACGGGAGAGACCTGTGTGTGTAAACAACACGAGTCTCTTTCCTGCCAACAAGGACATGCGGGCTTTGTATTTCTCTGCACAGCAGAGAAACCCAAAGCAGCATGTTTCCCTAGTAAAACACACACAGCACATCATGTTAAACATCACAAAGCACACCGTTAACCCTTTGGTCGCCACAGATGTTAACCCCTTCCCCTTTCATTAGTACAGTGTCAGTGCTTTTTATTAGCACTGATCACTGTATTAGTGTCATTGGGATATCAGTGACAGTTAGTCAGTTCCCCCCCAGTGTCAGAATGCCCCCCGCAGTCCTGCTACAAGTCGCTGATTGCCGCCATCACTAGTATAAAAAAAAAAATTCCAGTACATATACCACCATTTGTAGATGCTGTAACTTCCACGTAAACCAATGAATTTACATGTATTGGGATTTTGTTTAGCAAAGATATTGTAGCAGAATACATTTTGGCCCAAATTGTATGAAGAAATTATATTTTTTACATTTTTTTATTGGATACGTGTTATAGCAAAAACTCAAAAATATTGTTTTTTTTTCCAAAATTGTCTTTTTTTGTTTATAGCGCAGAAAATAAGGTAATCAAATGCCACCAAAAAAAAGATCTATTTGTGGGGGAAAAAAAGACATACATTTCATTTATGTACAGCGTTGCATGATCAAAGTAACACAGTGCCGTATCACAAAAAATGGCGTGGTTAGGAAGGGGTGGTAAATCCTCCGGAGGGCAAGTGGTTAAAGGATAGGTTCACCTTTATAGAGAAAATAATAATGCACTGTTTGTGCAGGAAAAAAAAAATGTGCTTTTATTATTTTTTGTTGCAGAAGCCTGTAAACCATTGCGCCAGCAATCAACAGATCGCTGGTGCTATTCATGTCTCCTGCAGACCTGTCAGTATATCTGTTGTACCATATGTTAGCAATCTGTTATGGGTATTTCAGGATTAATTGTAAGTTATTTTAGCTAAAAACTTTTACATCTAAATAGTTTTATATTCTATATAGGGGCTTGCAGCAATGACACATAAACATATATTAAAAATCACATTGTGCTTTTTTATATTTCTTTTAACCACTTGCCTACCGGGCACTTATACCCCCTTCCTTACCAGGCCATTTTTTCAGCTTTCAGCGCTGCCGCACTTTGATTGACAATTGCGCGGTCATGCAACATTGTACCCATATGAAATTTTGATCATTTTTTTCTCACAAATAGAGCTTTCTTTTGTGGTATTTACATCGCCACTGGCGCGCTTTACTTTTTGCGCTATAAATTAAAAAAAGTCAAAAAATTTTGAAAAAAAAAAAAAAAGTTTATTTGTTTTCTCCTTCACTGATTTGCATTGATGAGGCGTTGCACTGATGGGCACTGATAGGCGGCACTGATGGGCACTGATAGCAGCACTAAAGGGGCACTGATAGGCAGTACTAAAATGGTGGCACGGATAGGCGGCACTGATAGACAGCACTAATTAGGGTCACGGATAGGCGGCACTGATATGCAGCACTGATAGGTGACACTGATGATGGGTACTGATAGACGGCACTGACTGGCATCACTTCTGGGCACTGACTGGCGGCACTGACTGGCACAAACCCCTGGGCACTGACTGGTGGCACTGACTGGGCAGCACTGGTGGGTGGGGCACTGGTGGACAGCACTGGTGGGTGGGCACAGGTGGGTGGGCACTGGTGGGCACAGGTGGGTGGGCACAGGTGGGTGGCACTGCTGGGCACATGTAGGTGGCACTTCTGGGCACAGGTAGGTGGCACTGCAGAGTGGCACAGGTGGGGGCACTGCTGGGCACAGGTGGGGCATCACTGCTGGGAATGGGTGGGCGGGGCTAGTGGGCGCACTGCTGATAGGGAAACTTGCGGGGGTCCACTGCTGGGCACCGATCATCAGGGCACTGATCATTCAGAGCCCTGATGATCGGGTGCCGATCCCCGCTCTGACAACTGCCGGTTCTCGGCAGTACTTTCCTCACGATCTGGACAGCGTGAGGAAAGTGCAGCCGAGAACCGGCACTTGCATTTTCCTGTGATCAGCGTGTTCACCGCTGATCACGTGGTAAAAGCCGGTGGGATCGGCCTTTCACCACATCACGTGATCAGCTGTGTCCGTAGGACACAGCGATCACGGAGATCGCCGGGTGCGCGCGCCCCTGGGGCGCGCAGGAGAGCGCGTTCTGGGAGGACGTCATATCCACTCAGAACTGGGCGCCGCGGTGAAGCCGTCTTTCGGATATGCGCGTCGGCAAGTGGTTATTCTTAAAGTGCGAATAACTCTGGTTTAAAAATTGCTAATCAAATATGTGTTCTAAACTCAAATAGTGCCTTTTATTGCTCTTAGCCGCCTCCATATCTCCAAATTCCTTTTTTTTTTGCTGCTGTGATCTGACTTCCTGTTAGAGGGTAGCTGCGTTCCTTTTCTATTTTCCAGTTGTATGTAGGAATGTAGCCACCAGGGGCGGACTGACCATTTGGAAACTTGGGTACTGCCTGAGGGCCCGGGGTCAGTAGGCGGCCCCATGAGATGCCCCTGGTACCTTTTTCATAGGCTTTTTTGAGTTTGGGCAAGGACACAGGGGCCCCATGATCTCCTATTGCCCGGGGGCCCCATGAGTTGTCAGTCCGCTCCTGGTAGCCACCCTCTCTTGCTTGCTCTAAAGATGGACTATGGGATGTGTAGTGTGCATTCAGTGCACATGACTGCAGCTAATGTGCACTGCTTTTTCCAAAGCCCTCTGTAGATTTTTTTCCTTAGGACTCATGTACACTGCAGCTGCTAAACTGAAGTTCAGGAGTTGTTGAGTGTTTTTTTTCAGCAGCCCCTGAACTCTCCTTTATGTTTTCCTATATGTCCATGTACATGTAATCGTTTACAGTCATTTACGGGCAGTTGAGTTTACAGTATTTTTTTGAACGCACCAAAATTGCGTTCAGGAGTAGATTTTACTGGCGTTTCAATTGCCAAATGCTTGTAAACGCGGTTAACCGCGTTTACAAGTGTTTGCGTTTAGACGCCTTTTTTGACAGGTCCATATCCAAATGCTGTCCAGAGCCTTTTTTCTTTATCAAAAATGCATGCACAGCATTTTCCATGTATTCAAATGATCCTAGCACACCAGCGCAGTCAGTTCCAGGTTTCACGTGAAGGAAAAAATGGTAGAACGTGCCGCATTATGCTCATCATGGGATCCATAGTGAATACAACCAGAAAACACAGGTCATCTCAACACATACTGCTCTCTCTGCTTCTGCTCCCTCAATTTCTCTCAAAATGTCTGAAATAGTTAATTATTTACTATATTGCAGTGCATTCTGGGCATTTAGAAGGGTCTCATGAGGTTATCTTTTAAAAACGCTTCTAAACGCAAACGCGCGCTAAATGCAGCTAAACGTGCATAAACGCGGTTAAGCTGATGTTTTTTAACCTACATTTTCTAGCAGTTTCCAGCGGTCAGAAGAGTTTTCCAAATGCCCCGTGTACATGAGCCCTAAGAGTTTGGGAGCTCATTGAGGACATTTTGGTTAGGCAGAAAAACACAAACAGAATCAATTTCATGAAAAATAGATTCCAGAACCATTAGGTAGTGGATGTGTATGGATTATTTTTGGAGAATAATTATATTTAGTGTCACTTTAATTAGAAGAAACACTTTCAAATTTCAATTCCAAAAGATCATACAGGTTCATGAGAGTATATGGTCCAGTACTGTACATTGTTATACGTTTCAAAAGTTCTGCATTATGTAGAGGTTTATGTATCCAACACGTTTCTCGGACCTCAGTCCTCTTTCTCACAGGTGGGTATGCATCTTATCGTATGGACGCCATTAGTAAACATACTATAAATAGTTTCATAGAAGTAGAGTAATTTAACTTCCCTAGCGTTCTGATTATGTCCATATTTCTGTGCTCAAAGCGGTACATTTTTTTGCATGGAAAATAATTTTTTGTTGTAGGCCTGTAATTTTTAGGAACAACTCACTGAAATCTGTCCGAACAAGAGTCTAGTAATCATCCCGGGTATGTTAAATTTTGAAACATGAAATCATAAGTTATAATTTAATAAATAATCATAAAAAATAATAATTTAATTAATAAATTTATTTCAATAATCTAATCAAACCAAAAACACTGAAATTTGAAATATAGCGCCAAGTTCGCACATCACTGAGCAAAGTCGCAAAATCGTTTTCAGTGTCTGATGACGAATTTCCCCACGAATCATTATCACTGAATTCTGCAAGTGGTTCTAATTTACTATCGCTGTTCTCTAGTCAGTCTAAAACCGCTTTTGACGTAAAGAGACGCTTTTTGGACGCCATGGACGTTTCTCAGTTTCCAGGCAGAAAGAACAGTAAAAATGCAGGCAGGGCACAGGACAAAGCACTCAGGACAAAATGTATGTGAAATGGTTTGATACAGTAATGTTTTACTATGTTATTTTAGTGTATTGAGTGAATGTCACAATATGTAATTTTCAAATTTCCCGCCGTTCTGTCCCCCGTACATCCCGACGCTCACAGGGGACGGAACCCAGATGACAGATGCGGCAGCCGCTGGAGTACATTATAGGGGACACTGCAGGAGGGACATGGTAAGTGACCGAGGGATCCCAGAGCAGCGCCCCATGGTAAGCCCAAGTGTAGCTCGGGGTTACCGCTTGTGGTACTGAAACTTTACCCCGAGCTACATTCGGGAAATACCACCAGGGAGGTTAACAGTCCTTGTTTCCAGAGAATGGTGCCACAATTGGGAAGTCCTTACTGCAGATGATACCCCAAAAAGAGGAAGGGGGGGTCCTTGCAGCCACCACCACTGTAATGACAATGCATGTGGTATGGCGTGGTAGGCTGATTATCCCCCCTGACCTCCATTAGCTTCTTGCTTTTTTTGTTATTATTTTATGCGCATAGCTTCATTTTTATAAATCGCCTGTGCAGCTTTGCCCTATACACTGTTCCGGTTGACTGTAAAAGAGTAGACACTTAGAAGAATTGTCAGTTATTCACATTTACTGCATACAAGATTAAACTAGATAAAAGTGTTAATATTCATAGGGACGTATAATGCTCTGGCTGCCGTATTCAAGGAAGGGTGCCGGTATTAATCATAGATTAAAGAACTCTTCTTACTGAGGTTAGCAGCAATTTAAAGCAGCTATAAAAATGCAATAATATTTTTATGAGAAAAGATTATGGTGGGATTATTCTTATTTATTTATATTCGGGATTAAAAGTCAAGGCTATATAATTAAAGGATATCCTGCTTTGTGCCTGATGTAAAGACATTGTGGGACTTGTGCTTTTTGCCATTGCTAATTAATTTGGCCAGGCAACTAATGCACAATTGGACATCTGCAAAAGGGCTCTAGCTATCTAGGCAGAAAGTCAGTTCGGTATAATTTAATATAAATTTATTATGATGATTTGGACCAGAGGAATTTGGTGTTAGAACTGCGGCTTTTAGGGCTTGTTCATACAAGTGGCCAAGTTGCTGTAAAAGCAGGCAGTTGAGCCTTGGTTTTACTACGCCCTTACCACCCACTTAAAGAAATGCATATAGCATCTCAGGGCTGTAAACATGCCATGGTATAAAATAAAAAGGATGTCGCATTTGGTCAATGCCGAACACAACCAACTTAAGCAGGAGCGGACTGACCATTTGGAAACCCGGGCACTGCCCGAGGGCCCGGGGTCAGTAGGGGGCCCTATGAGATGCCCCTGGTACCTTTTTCATAGGCTTTTTTGAGTTTGGGCAAGAATACAGGGGCCCCATGATCCCCTAGTGCCCGGGGGCCCCATGAGTTGTCAGTCTGCCCCTGCACTTAAGTGTATGGGGCCATGATGCATCCACCCTGCAACTGGGTGTAATGGGTTCAGTTGAGCAGCATTGAGAGCTGATTCACTCATGTGTGATGCGGATTAAAGCTCAGGTTTCACAGCTAATTGATACAGTAGTTGTTCAGCGGCTCATGTCAGGTTCACATTAGGTTCAGGACAGGATTAGCTCAGGATCTTATCCTGTTCACACATACGCAGTTTAGAAACGGTTCCCATAGAAGTCAATAGGCTGTAACCAGCACCTGAACCTGAAGGCACTGCTCAGAAATTGGACATGACTCTTTTTTCAAACCGCACTGAATTCGCACCGCCAGTGCATCAGACATATGTGAACAGGCACCATAGGAAGCAATGTTATTTCACATGTCATGCTATTCAAACCTCATCCAATCTGCATATATATGAACCAGCACTTACTGGGTTTAAAGCAGCCGTAAACCCAAAACTAAAAATTAATATATTGCAGTTTACCAAACATTAGATGCAGTGGCTGCATCAGTTTTCTTTTATTTGTTTCCCTCTGCTTTCAGGGGGCACCCTTGGGCAGCAACACTGTTACTCTGATGTGAGGGGAGTGTTAGATGTACTAGCAGATTTTATTACAATAACAATTTGAAGCCAAACTCCAGCTCACACTTACAGCAAATCTTTTTGTTTTTTGGATAAAGGCTTTACATGAATAACTAAAAGCTGATCATTTAATCACTTCTGTTAGTGGTAAATGGATTGGCTCATCCGTGTAAACTGATACATTCTGCTGGAGAGCTTACGCTTTTGAAAACCGACAGGCTTGCTGTCTGGATCGCCAGCTGAAAATAGAAGAAAGAAAGCCTAAAAAGGAAAACAAATGCAGCCATCACATTAAAGAATTGGTAAGCTTCAATACAATATAATGGGTTTAATATCGCTTTAAATAGGCAGTGAGAAGGCAACATATAGCCTCTTCATTGCCTGTCAAATACCTCTGAAGAGCAGTTATTTGTGGATCTCTTTTCACGGGTCAGCAAGGACAGCTGCACATATGCATGAGCCCTTAGTTGCATAATTCTGTGTTGTGCAACCATCCTTTTTTGAAAAAATTGTCTTTGCAACAGGTTCACTTAAATGCCCTTCTCCGCAACACCACATACTAGCCTTTCCTTTGCTTCCCTGCCTCTTTGTGTAAGGACTAAGTCACTTTAGGTGTACTGACGTTCTAGAGCTTTCAGAAAAAATGTTACAAATGACTGCGCTTTCTTAGTACAGGTTTTTGTTTTTTTAACCACTGCCCATGTACATAAACAGCCAGACGGGAGCATTGCAGGAGCTGGTTGCTGTTTATAAATGGCGCCCGCATTTACAGCCTGTGCGCGCTCCAGTGCCCACTGTGTCCGGAGGTCCCAATTCATGTGATCACTGATTGGCCTATCAGTGATCACATGAATAGTTGTAAGCAAGATGTCACTTCCTGACATCAGTGCTTACTACTTGTGAAACCTGGGAATGATCACAGAGGTCACATGGTACAAGGCTATTCACAACCGCCTTGTACCATGTGACAAGCTGTGACCAATCACCGCTCTCACAGTATTTCTCAATGGCTGCAAGAATGCAGTCAAAAGGAGTAATGATTGATTTTACAGCCTTTATGGGTGAAAAGCAATCAGTGTAAAAAAAAAAATCTTCATCACCCTCCCCCCCCCCACAAGTACAGTGTCACTACGGTGACACTGTACTGGTAGGGTGACAGTATGTTAAAAAAGAAAAAATAATAATATAAAAAAAAAAAAAAAAATGTAAAAACTTTTTTTCAAAAATGATCATTTTTGGTTATAAACTAATTTGTTTTTTTTTGTTTTTTTTTTACTATAAAGATAACTGAATACATTTTGGCCAAGATTTATGAGGAAAGATTATTTATTTGCAAAACTGTATAAGGAAAAATACTTTTTTCAAAATTTTTGGACATTTTCATTTATATAGCAAAAAAAAAAAAAATCCTAGTGGTGAGTAAATACCACCAAAATAAAGTTTTATCTGTCTCAAAAAAATGCTGAAAAATTAATATGGGTACAGTGTTGCATGACCACGCAATTGTCATTCAAAGTGTGATAGCACTGAAAGCTGAAAATTGGCCCGGGCAGGAAGGGGGTGAATGTGTCCGGACTTGAAGTGGTTAAAGGCCACCTTTCTGATCACATTTCATGAAACATGGTCACTTTCTGCCCCCCCCCCCCATCCCCATAATAAATATGGGGGGGAGGGTTCCTGTTAGGGTGCCCTGTGTATATTTGAATTTGGCAAGAGAAAAAACACTGTGACAGAAGGACTCATATTTCTAAATGATGCACAAGTGTGGTGATGTCACTGTGAACTACTAATTCTGCTCTCCCTCTATAATGAGACTAGTCCGATTTTTAGTTCAAATCAGGGAAACAGAATGACTGACGATCTTGGCTTCTTCCATTGATACAGTGGAGGAGTGAACATGGTCACCCAAGGGCAGAAAGTGTGTTATGTAGAAGATTTCCAGGTAAAAACAAAGGAAAGAGCCTGAAAAAGGAAAAGCAATGCAGCCACCTCGTCAAAGAACTGGTAAAGTGCAATATATCAAATGTTAGTTTTTGGGATTAGGTACACTTTGATGCTGGTACATCAGTACAACACATACTGTAATTATAAGGGGATTACATGCAAAGGTTTCAAATTTAGCTAAAATACACATTGAAGAGCTTCTATACTGAGAGAAACATGTAGGCTGCCTTTGCTAAACTCCTGAAAGTGATAGTTCTCCGACTGTTTATGACTTCAACAATTTGAGGTACTAACTCAGAACAAACCTGCAGCAGGGGAAGTCAGAACTCCTGATTTGCGTAAATATCCTGGGTCAGTGATACAAAGGTATTAAGCAGTATGTTTCATTGGCTGCATGCTTACTTCTAGAAGTAACATTGGTGCCATCACAAGTTCACTTTTCTGTTATAAATATATTTTGTGACAATTCAGTGGTTTTTCTGTTTGCAGATTTTGTCGGAAAGCCTCTTTGCTAGTGCAATGTCGGAATCTTCATATTAGCCTGATTCAAGAAAAGGCCAAGACAGGAGCAGAGCATATATGGCTGAGCAGGCAGAAGAGGGATCCCTATGTAAAAGCGGCTCGAGAACAAAATTACCGCTGCCGCAGCGCTTACAAGCTCCTCGAAATTGACACAGAGCTAAAAATCTTGAAGCCTGGACTTCATGTGATTGACTGTGGTGCTGCTCCTGGGGCCTGGAGCCAGGTTCTTATTGAGAAAGTCAATTCCCTGGGACAAGGTGAGCAAACTGTCAGATCCAGCTACATCGTCTAGACCAGCCTTTTTCAACCAGGGTGCCTTGAGGTTTCTTCATGGTAGCCTTGGCAAAATGTCTAAAAATTGGCCAAAACTTGTGGACAAGCCAGCGGGTGGAACTGCCTTTTAGTTACAAAAGGGCCATAGGTTTTCATTGTGCACCATTACAACCGTCAAGGTGCCGACATCTGACAACCAATGACATCATCATTTGATAAGGAGGTTGTCGGTTGCCTGCACAGCATCCTTGTTTAACCCCTATAAATAATAAATAAACCAGCGCAAACATAGACCTCTACACACCATCAATAAATAAAGTGCATCATAATAAAAAAATTAATAAAATTAATAATTAATATTATTAAAAATCAAAAATGAAAGTCTGCAAACCAGAAAAAAATATTTTTTTGTCCGTGAAATATACATATATATATCAAGTGAAAAAAATATATATCAAGTGAAAAAATATCAAGTGAAAAAATCAAGTGAAAAAATATCAAGTGATTTTGATTTTTGATCTTTCATTTTTGATTTTTAATAATATTAATTATTCATTTTATTAATTTTTTTATTATGATGCACTTTATTTATTGATGGTGTGTAGAGGTCTATGTTTGCGCTTGTTTATTTATTATTTATTGTGGTTTGTGTTTTTGCACAGTGCACAGCAGCAGTATAGTACCTGTGGGTATCTGTTGGCGCAGGAATAATAGTTCATATAAAAAAATTTGTTTAACCCCTGCCCGCCGGCGCCTCCCGGCCCTTTAAGAGTTTCAGACGCCGGGAGGGGCGTGGTTTAGGGATCATGTGACGGCCTCACAGCGGTCACATGATCGGGAAAGGTCCCGATCGAAAGAGCAGACTGGGACCTTTCCATGAGTACCGGACTTGTGTGCTGGGAGCGCGCGCTCTCAGCACATGTTTTTTGTTACATGAACGCAAATGTCCGGCCGCTCGCCGACTAGGCCCAGATGCCGGGAGGCCGCACATTTGTGTGCGGCCGCCGTAAAGGGGTTTACTCTCCCCTGCCTCTCTCCCTGTCAGTGCTGGAGAAAAAACTGAGGGAGAAGAGAAACATTGGAATACTAATCAGTACCAATATGCAAAAGTGTATTTGCTTTGGAAGAATAAATGACCTCTTACATGCGTGGATGTTGCTGAATTAATTAAAAATATTATAATACGTTTTTTTACATTTTAAAATTTTAAAGGGTGCCTTGACTAAAAAAAGGTTGAGAAACACTGGTCGAGACATGAACATATTTCCTAAAGTCATAAAACATAGAGTGCAGCGCTAAAACAAATATAAACCTTTGACATAAATATATGACTAATATAAGTCCACTAGTATCCTCAACGGGAATTATATAGTCCACCATATAGTATTAACCGCTGTGAATATGATCCAATCTTCAATTGTAGAGGTGCTGACAGATTGCCTACTCACCGGAAGCACAATATACTTGCACATATCTGGATCATATACATCCTGGGGTCCTGGGAGAAGACAACCTGGTGCCAAGTTCCTCTGGTAATCCCTCAGTGATACATGGGAAGGTTACAGGTCTGATCATAGGTGTTCAATCCCAGGGTTTACCGCAGTGCCTGAAATACTGGTGCAGTATGAATCATGTGTAGGCCGCCGGACCTCCTGATCCGGCGGTGTGACGTCAAGGCGTGCGAAGGCTCCTCCTAGACGCGTTTCGTGTAAACACACGTCTGCAGTAGGGGTGATGGCATTGAAGATTGGATCATATTCACAGCGGTTGATACTATATGGTGGACTATATAATTCCCATTGAGGATACTAGTGGACCTATATTAGTCACACATATTTATGTCAAAGGTTTATATTTGTTTTAGCGCTGCACTCTATGTTTTATGACTTTATCAGAAAGGCTTTGTGGTTCCTTTTAATGCACTGGTCGCTTTCTGTATGCGCTCACTGATTTATATATATATTTCCTAAAGTGTATGTCCTGTCCAAAGTGTCATATACAACGGGACAGATTCTACAGTACTTCCTTCCCCAGTGCTACTGGAACACATTTATATTGTGTCACATGACATTATTTAGGCCCAACTTTGGGCACAAAAAAAAAAAACTTGCAGTGGCCCCCTGCACTGCAAGGATTAAATGTTTTTTCTGTCTACGGAGAAATACCTTTTTCCATGCTTCAACAAGTTCCCTCCACCAGTGCCAACAGGTCACTGCAGCCCTCTATATAAGACTTATGGCCGCGGTCGCACATATGCCCTCTCCATGTACAATGCAGGGTTAATAGCCCTGCATTGTATATGTATACCGCTGCTCAAGGTAGAGAGACTCCCAATCTCCAAGCACAACTCCTCCTGTAGGTGCTAGCCCAGCTCGTATGCTGCATAGATGAGCACAAAGGACGTCCGATCAGCTGCAATCCAATTTATTGAACCAAGATAAAACCAATACAGACAGTGGAAATACAGTGGGGGACTGGCAGGTGAAACGTGTTTCACGCTAAATAGAGGGGTAATGACCTGTATTTAGCATGAAACGCGTTTACCTGCCAGTCCCCCACTGTATTTCCACTCTCTGCATTGGTTTTATCTTGGTTCAATAAAGTGGATTGTTTGGAGTGCAGCTGATCGGACATCCTTTGTTCTCAGCCCTGCATTGTATGTGATGATGCTGAGGGACCGCTCACAGATCAAAGCCTAAGAAAGAAGAGGACAACACCGGAGCAGGAGTCAGGGTATTGTGACATAAAGTAGTTAGCAGTCATGGTAGATGCGTTTATATAGTGAATCCAGTGTAGACAGGCAATATTTTTAAGGGACTGGTATTAAAACAGCAGAAAGCAAATGACAGTCCAACATAAATTTTTCACACAAGGGATCTTTTCCAGCTTCAGTAGAATATAAATACTGAAAAATGCTGAGCCACCTTCCTTATAACCTCACTCAGTTTCAATGGCAGTACCACGCTGTACCTCTTACCAGTATCTCAGACTGTGTTGTCCAGTTCTCTTGGATACTTGGCTCTATAGCCTTTGGTCACGGCACCCTGCTGCATGGACCACTTCTGGCCTATGCTTTGGGGTTCTCCTGACACCCCAATAGGAGCTGACTTGAACTGAGAGCTCTGTCTCTTGGCTGGGTCCTCTGAACCATCGATGAGACCTTCCGTCTCCCCCACTGGGAGCGTTCTCCAAACTGGGAGCTCTGAGCTATTCTCAGACCTGAGTGTATAATGACACCGCACACCTGTGTACTCTGGTTGCAGGTGTCAAGCAAAACCCAGAAACAGGATTAAATATTCCGATCCAGACTACAGAAAGCTGAAGGCACCGCTTTCTCTGCCCAGAAACACTAGTCTGGAATGTCGTATTTACCTTAAATGTGAATCCTGTGTCACATTTTCCCATAATTTCATGGTGACTGAACCTCGTCCTGTCACAGTATGTAATACTGCCTCTCATTCTACTCCCTAGATTTCAAGCGGAGTTCCACCCAAAAGTGGAAGCTCCACTTGTTTGCCACCCCCGCCCCTCCGCCATTTGCTCCTACAGCCAATGAGAAAAGAAGGAGAGCAGGGCGAAGCTGCAGCTCCGTGTATGAATGGACACATGGAGCAGCAGGTGCCCCCATAGCAAGCTGCTTGCTGTGGGGGTACCCTACAGACAGGAGGAGCAAGGAGAGCCTGCGGGGGACCAGAGAAGAGTAGGATCCAAGCTTCTCTGTGCAAAACCAATGCACACAAAGCAGTTAAGTATAGACATGTTTTTATTTTACAAAAAAAAAAATGAACATTTAGAATCGCATTAGCTTGGCAGATTGTTTCAAAAAGTGATGGGTATGTTTCTAAATGCAAACAAATATGAATTGCTCTTAATATTTGTAAGAAATAACATAATAGAAGGTTGATCTAGGGAATTATCCATTCTCCTCCAAAGATGAGGAAATCATTTTTTTCCTGTTAGGCCCAGGTCACACTTTGCGTAGTGTTCACTTTTTTTGATTTACACACGTTTCTGCGTCTTATACATAGGGCAGCCCATTCACTCGAATGGGCTACCCTATGCTTGTTTTTCGCACCAAAGATGCTCATGTATCAAATTTTGGCACTGAACCAGGCACGTTTTCTCACACGGCAATCACAGCAAAACTGGACCGCTTTCGGAGTTCCATTAAGAATGAATGGCACCCAAACACATGTTTTGCTACAATTTTCAGTTTGGAAAAGCAGGCACAATCCCCATGATTCTGCCTGCAATTCCAAATTGTTCATATATGAACCGGGACTTAGGGTAAATTAGACCATATTTTATTTGAGGGTTTTTTTTTACTTTCCTCTGTCTCAGTTTAGTGTTCCAAGGATGCAAGTTCTTATTGTTTTATCGATGTATTTTGTGTTTTAATTGTAGTTGTGTTTGATTGTAGTTGTGTTTGATTGTAGTTGATCACATGCATTCTTTCTTAAGCTAACTGTATAACAATGTTAATATTTGCACTGAATTCTTATTGTAAAGTATTGTTTCTTTTGTAGATCCTACAATGGGTGTTGGCTATGTATTAGGTGTGGATCTTCTTCACATATCTCCCCTGCATGGAGCAGTGTTTCTCTCTAAATGTGACCTTACAGACCCCTGCACACACCAGAAAATACTCAGCCTTCTCCCGTCTGGCAAAGCAGATGCCATATTGAGCGACATGGCTCCCAATGCCAGTGGGATCAGAGATCTGGATCACCACATACTAGCCAGCATGTGTCTGTCTCTTCTGGACTTGGCAGCCATTGTTCTGCGACCCGGGGGGACTTTTCTGTGCAAAGTCTGGGATGGCAGGGAAATCAATCGAATAAGAGACAGACTGCGACAAAGATTTCAGCATGTCAAGACTGTAAAGCCGAAAGCTAGCAGAATGGACTCTTCTGAGTTATATTTGCTGGCAAAATCATACAAAGAAAACCAATCTGCATACACAGTTAATTCTTTATAATCCAACAATAAATCTCCTTCTGTCGTTAAAAATACAATATTTAATAAATAGCATTCTTATTGTTATTTGTATATTTGCATTACTTTTTATGTTTTAACAGGATTTTGGTTATTCTGTTGTTATTTGTGATGTCCAGTGGGCCTTAGTATTTATAAATAATTATTTAAAAATGGAAAAGAACCTCCAGTTCATGTGGGTAATGGGAAAAAATGTATTAAACCCAAAACTAAAAATTTAATTTATTGCAGCTTACATTGGATGAAGTGGCTGCATTATATTTCTTTTTTAGGCTTTTTTTCCCTCTATTTTGACCTGGTGATCTAGCTGGTAACATACCTCCTGTATTACAGTGCCCCCACTCTGGATGGTGGAACAGAGACACCTTTGGACAGCAGTATTGTCGTTCTGGGAGAGAGTGTTAGGTGGACTAACAAGTGATAGCGTTAAACATTTATTGCACAGAGCAGCCCCAAATCTTCTCTTCTGGGGACCCCTGCTAGCAGTCCTGGCTCCTTCCGAGTACCCCCAGCAAGTCACTTGCTAAGGAAGAGTACTCATGCAGACTCACTCCTGAGCCCTGCTGCCTGCATCCATAGACACAGACCACAGGGCTTTGCCCCCCCCCCCCCCCATTGCCTTGTCGTAGGATATGATTGACAGGAGCTGGAGCCATGGGCTCCCACTGCTATTGATCCACCCTATGAGGAGGGAGAGAACTGGTGTTCTCATGCACAGCACTGGATCCAGATCGAGCTTTGGTAAGTAAAAGGGGCCTGGGGGGGGGGGGGGGGTAATCCATTAAAGGAAAAAAACCTTAATGCTTTACAACCTCTTTAAATACACAACAAACTGAAGCCAAACTATAGCTAATACTTTTTAAGCAGTTATTGCAACTTCTATTTTATTTTCGGATAAAAGTTTTACATAAAGGCTGATCATCGAAAGTACCCCTGTCAGTGTTAAATGTTTTGTCTTGATTTTCTAATTGCTATATCTGCAGTACAACTTTGTCTTTTGAAAAAAAAAAAAAAAAAAACAACAGACTCACTGGCCAGATCACCAGGTGAGAACAGAAATAAAGCCTAAAAAAGAAAACCAATGCAGCCATCACATCTTAGATTTGGTAAACTGCAATATAATACATATTTGTTTTGGGATTAATAGCACTTTAAAGCCTAATTGAACTTGTGTGCTGCTCATGCAGAATAAACCACAAGTTCACTCTAAAGAAAGACTGAACTCTGGAAGCTGTGCCTAAAAATAGGAAAGAGAGGAGGGCAAAGGAATAGTCACCAGTATTGCCTGGGGTCTCCCTGCAGCTGATCTTTCCCCCATTATTGCCATCCTTTATTCTGCACTGCACTGCTTCCTCATGTCAGATGTTCCAGCAGGAAAAACCACAAGCAGCACATTAGTGACATCATCAAATCTAACACCAGCAAAGCTTAGTTCTCACAATGCAGATATACAGCTATGAGGCTATAGACACAGGAGTGCCTAGGAACACTCAAGGAAGTGCTATTTTTCTAGAGCAATGGTCTCCAAACTTTGGCCCGGGGGCTGGATGCAGCCTTTGGCTTAGCTTGCTTTGGGGCACTTTTCCTCCAACTGATGCAAGACACTATTATTCCCACTGACACCAACAATAGGGCATAATCTCTGTTACTGACACCAACAATAGGGCATAATTCCTGTTACTTACATCAACAACAGGGCATTGACACGAAAGAAGTGGCACTATTCCTCCCACTGACACCAACAATGGAACACTATTCCTCCCTCTGACACCAAGAATAAGGTACCATTTCTTCCACCAACAATGCAGCATTATTCTTCCCACTGACACCAACGATGGTGCCCTACTCCTCCCCCATAATGCCAAAGATTCATTGTTTACTCCCACTCACTCCAGGACAATTTCTACTAATGGCCACAGTCTGGCCCCACTAAAGTCTGAAGGAAAGTAAACCGGCCCTTTGTTTAGAAAGTTTGGAGACCCATGTTCTAGAGGAATTCCAAACAAAAGGTAGATTTTCCAGGTACTGCTTGGACACAATTAACATTTCTAAGTATTTTTTATATAACATACAGTTATGTGAAAAAGTAAGTACAACCCACCCATGAAAATTAATTCCTTTATCAGAGGTGATATGTTATGTCATCTGTTAAATCTACAGATTATCAGAGTACACAAGATCAGCTTTTCAGGCTTGTACAAAGTAACAAAACCATATTTTAAAATACCCAGGGCTGTTTTATAACAGATGCAGCCCTGTGCGTTTTGTTCTGAATCAAAAATGCAGAGTGTGGTGTGAACTGTAAGCAAAAATGCATCCGGAGTGTGTTTTTGTGGTGTGAACCGACCCTAATGTCAGTTTTTAGTACATGAAACAATTTTAAACAAACTTGTACATAAAACTTTATGGCTGATATATTGCTAATATGTCATTATATTCTCTCTACTATGCCATATTCCCATAAAAACCTAAATGGGTAAGCCATCAATTTTCAATAGCTTGAATGGGAAATAGTCCAACGCATTTCAAAGTATCTTCATCAGGGGCAAGGGTGAGATCAAAGTGAATAACCAAAAACACTTTAAATCTACAGTATGCCCTCTGTAGATTATTTTCCTCATGTACACTGCAGCTGATAAACTGACGTTCAGGAGCTGTTCAGTATTTTTTTCAGCAGCCCCTGAACTCTCCCTAATGTGTTCCTATGTGTCCATGTACACTGTGTCGTTTACTGTCATTTACAGGCAGTTGAGTTTACAGTCGTTTTTTTGAAAGCACCAAACTTGCGTTAAGGAGTAGATTTTACCAGCGTTTCAAATGCTTGTAAACACGGTTAACCGCATTTATAAGTGTTTGCATTTAGAAGCGTTTTTTAACTGTTCCATGTCCAGATGCTTTCCAGAGCCTTTTTTCATCATCAGAAATGCATGCAAAGCATTTTCCATGTATTCAAATGGACCGGGTACACCAGCGCAGTCAGTTCCAGGTTTCGCGTGAAGGAAAAAATGGTAGAACGTGCCGCATTATGCTCATGATGGGATCCATAGTGAATACAACCAGAAAAGACAGGTCATCTCAACACATACTGCTCTCTCTGCTTCTGCTCTCTCTCTTCCTCTCAAAATGTCTTGAATAGTTCATTTTTTACTATTTTTCAGTGCATTCTGGGCATTTGGGAAGGTCTCCTAAGGTTATCTGTTAAAACCGCTTCTAATCACAAACGCGCATAAACGCGGTATGCAAAGTAGGCTAAACAGACATTTTTTAACCTACATTTTGCAGCAGTCGGTTTCCATCATTCAGAAGTGTTTTCCAAATGCCCCGTGTACATGAGCCCTTACATTGGAATGATTAAAATAGTTTAGCAATCCTTTTAAATTCCCCGTTGGACTCATATACATCACCAACCTTTTTTTTCTGAGGGCTCTTGAGAGTTTTTTTAGTCTTGCCATGATGACACCACACGCATTGTTTGCAAAGAGAACACCAGACCCCAGATATAAGACAAAATCCACTTGCATAATCCATCAAAATGGTGGTTGCAATCATTGACGTGTGCTCTATTGGTGGTAAATGTAATGGTGTACTTTACGCCTATATCTGAGGGCAATGTGTGAGGGACAGTTCACACCACATGACGCCCAGGGCATTTTTTTCTGCATCAAAATGTATTGATAGTAGGTTGCATAGTTTCCAATGGCATAGTTCACACCAGTGCGATCAGTTCCAGTGCGTTCCAGTTCCAGAAAAGGTGAACATGCTGCATTTTTTCTGCACTGAACTGTACTGGAACACAGTAAAGCACATAAACGCACAGGAAAACACATGTAGTTATTAAAAGTGTGATTAAACCTACAACAGCAAAATCAGTCTATGTAATAAAGCATGCTTGTTATATTCACTGTGGAACCTAAGGGGTTAATCTTCTGCATTGTGTAAAAACGCTGTTTGATCCTGACTTCTCTGATCCTCCCCTTCTTCCAGTGTCCCCTTCTTATCTCCTGATAAGACATATCGTGTGGAGTCACTGCAAATGTTCAGTTTCATGTGTATTGCTAGAGAGGTTTTTTTTTTTTCTTGGGAGTGTGCATGTGATCAGCACAGGGTCAATCATCACTGTCCAGACAGAGGTCAGGGATCCTGCATCCTCCTAGAGCAAAATGAAAACACCTACAAGCTTTACCATGTGCTCAGCTGGAAACTGATAGAAGTCACAAGACTGCTCTAACTGCTGATGAGAAAAGGTATTTAGCAGTTTATATTTACTAAAATAATTGCATTTCTATGTTGTGTATACTGTGGGAGATCAGATATAGTGAATGCAGGGTCCTGGGTTTAGTAACACTTTAAGCTGAAGAAAACGAGAGGGGAAAAAATTAACTGGAACGCATCAAAATGCACCAGAACATGTAAAAAACGTACATACAGAAACGCATCCAGACTGCATTTCATTGGTGTGAATTGGCCCTGAATGAAGATCTAATGCTTGTCTGTTCACATATGTTGAAAACGTCAACAATTTTCATGGCGTCTACTTACTTTTTCACATGACTGTAGCAAATCTTACATTTTCAAGTTTACTTTCACTTGAATGGCATCCTCACCAACACTATTTCTGTGTGAAAAAAACAATTATCAGTCTTTCAGTAACATTAGGGCACCAAACCTATACAAAAGTGTAACTAAAGGAAACATTTTTTTTTGTTTCGGATAAAGTGAAGAGGGATTTGAGCACCTTTTTATTGCTGTCTGTGCCCCCCGTTTGCTGTAACCCTCTCTATTTAGTCCTGTTTACTATGATCCTTGAAAGTGAAAGTAAGGCCTCAGGCAGGGAATGTTATTGTTATTGGACCTACAAAAGGCCTTCAATTCTTTATCCATGGAACTGTGGATCGAAATTTCTCACTCTTCTGGGGGCGTTATACTCCAATCCCTCGGCTAATATCACATATGGCCATAGGTCAGACCTCTTGCATATACAAAAGGGAACCAGGCAGGGGTGTCCCCTTTCATCCCTCCTTTTTGTTATAGCAATGGAGACACTGGCGATTGCTATTAGGTCTAATCCCAATATCCATGGTATTCCTAGTGGAGACAAAGCCTATAAATGTTCCTTATGTGTTAATCACCTGCCGACCGCAGATCGCTGAATGACGGCTACACTGCGGCCGGCCAGTTCTGGGAGGGCGTCATATGAAGTCCTCCCAGAACGCACTCTCCTGTGGACACAGCTGATCACATGATGTGGTAAAAGGCCAATCACAGCGGCCTCTTACCACGTGATCAGCTGTGTCCAATGACATGCTGATCACCCGGAAATGCAATTGCCGGTTCTCGGCTGCACTTTCCTCATGCTGTCAAAGCGTGAGGAAAGTGCTGCCGAGAACCAGCAGTTGTCAGAGCAGGGATTGGCTCTGATCATCAGGGCACAGATGATCAGTGCCCTGATGATCGGTGCCCAGCAGTGCCACCCACCAGTTCCACCCACCTGTGCCCAGCAGTGCACCCTCCTGTGCCCAGCATTGCCACCCACCTGTGCCACCCAGCAGTGCCATACACCTGTGCTCAGAAGTGCCACCCACATGTGCCACCCACCTGTGCCCACCCACATGTGCCCACCAGTGCCACCCACCTGTGCCCACCTACATGTGCCCACCAGTGCCACCCACCTGTGCCCATCAGTGCAGCCCAGCAGTGCTGCCAGTCAGTGCCCAGTGGTTGTGCCAATCAGTGCCCAATAGTTGTGCCACAATGCCTAGCAGTGCCGCCAGTCAGTGCACAGCAGTGATGCCAGTCAGTGCCATCTATCAGTGCTGTCTATCAGTGCTATCAGTGCCACCTATCAATGCCGCCTATCCGTGACACCTCATTAGTGCTGCCTATCAGTGCCGCCTATCCGTGCCACCTCATTAGTGCTGCCTATCAGTTCCCATCAGGGCCGCCTATTAGTGCCCATCAGTGCTGCCTCATCAACGCACATCAGTGAAGGAGAAAAATTACCTGTTTGAAACATTTTATAATAGAAACAAAGAAACGTTTTGTTTTTTTCAAATTTTTTGCAGTTTTTTTGTTTATAGCGCAAAACGTAAAGTGCCCAGTGGCGAATAAATACCACCAAAAGAAAGCTCTATTTTTGAGAAAAAAATGATAACAATTTCATATGGGTACAATCTTGCATGACCGCGCAATTGTCATAAAAATCATGTGAAGAAATCATAAATTATAATTTAATAAATAATCATAAAAAATAATAATATAATATTAATAAATTTAATTAAATAATATAATCAAACCAAAAACACTGAAATATAGCGCCAAGTTCGCACATCACTGAGCAAAGTTGCAAAATCGTTTTCAGTGTCTGATGACGAATTTCCCCACAAATCATTATCATCAATTCTGCAAGTGATTCTAATTTACTATCGCTGTTCTCTAGCTGGTCTAAAACCGCTTTTGACCTAAAGGGACGCTTTTTGGACGCCATGGACACATGGACATTTCTCAGTTTCCAGGCAGAAAGAACAGTAAAAATGCAGGCAGGGCACAGGACAAAGCACTCAGAACAAAATGTATGTGAAATGGTTTGATACAGTAATGTTTTATTATGTGATTTTAGTGAATTCAGTGAATGTCACTTTTACAACTTTCAAATTTCCCGCCAGTTCCGTCCCCGTACGTCCTGACGTTGCAGGGATCGGAACCCGGAAGACAGATGCTGGCATCGGTTGGAGGACATTGCCGGGGACACTGCAGGAGGGACATCGCAGGAGCGCAGGACAAGGTAAGTGCAGAAGAGATCCCAGAGCAGCGCTGCAAGGTATTCCCGAGTGTAGCTCGGGGTTACCGCTTGTGGTGCTGAAACTTTACCCCGAGCTACACTCGGGAATACCGCCAGGGAGGTTAAAAAAGTCCTGGATTCTTTCCTAGAGGCACAGAATATAACTGGATACTAACATTTATAGGTAAAGTTGATCCAGGGAATACAGTATCTGATTGCCTGGGGATCAGGAAGGTATTTTTTCCCTGCAGGAGCAAATTAGATCATGCTTTACTTTTTTTTGCCTTCCTCTGGATCAACTGTGAGTATAGGATCATAACTTTTTTTTACTGGTTGTACTAGATGGACTTTTGTCTTTTTTGGCCAGACTAACCATGTAACTAAATGACAGCGCTGACAGCTGAAAATTGGTCTGGGCACAAAGGGGGTATAAGTGCCTAGTAGGCAAGTGGTTAAATAGGGACATGTGCGTTCCAGTGCATTTTTTTTTGTGTTTTACCGCGTTCCAGGACAGTTCTGTGCAGGAAAAATTCAGCCTGTCCTTTTTTTTCCTGCACCTGGAATGCACTGGAACTGCAAGCACTGATGTGAACTATGACATTCACAACCATATAATCTACTTTCTGTGCATTTTGGATGCAGAAAAAAGCAACTGAAAAGCATATAGTGTGAACTGTCCCAAGTATATCTAAGGCAAATTATTTTTGTTGGTCTTGGATAAAGTAGAGAGCAGGGACGGACTAACAGCTCATGGGGCCCCCGGGCAATATGGGATCATGGGGCCCATGTCCTTGCCCACACTCAAAAAAGCCTATACAAAAGGTACCAGGGGCATTCCATGGGGCCCCCTACTGACCCCGGGCCCTCGGGCAGTGCCAGAGTGCTCTAATGGTCAGTCCGCCCCTGGTAGAGAGGGATTGGAACACCTGTCAGTTTTTATTGCTGTCTTTGCCCCCGTTAGGGAGATTCACCTTCTCTATTTGTGCTGTTTACTATTATCATTGAAAGTGAAAGTCCCCAGAAAAGTAATAGAGGGGAAATTTTCAAATGGGGACACTGGTTCTGGTGACCTGGGGGTCCCCAAGCAATTCCTTTAGTTTGCATGGATTTGTTTTAGCTATGGGACAGGAAGTGAAGAGAAATCTCCACAACAGGGCACAGATGATAAAAAAAAAATCTGACCGGGGTTGTAACCCTCCCTCATTCTATCCAAAATGAAAAACATTCAATATAACCATTCAACAATATCACCAGACATTATTGGCATACCACGAGACCACAATTTAAAAAAAATATACAATTTATTACAAAATTGTTGAAAAATTAGCATAAATATAACATTCAGCACCTCAGGGGGACTATCCCTGGGTAATTAAAGTGTTACTAAACCCCGGACCCTGCATTCACTATATCTGGTCTCCCACAGTACACACAACATGGAAATGCAAATATTTTAGTAAATATAAACTGCTAAATACCTTTTCCCAGCAGAAGTTAGAGCAGTCTTGTGACTTCTGTCAGTGTTCAGCAGAGCACTGGTTAAAGCTTCTAGGAGAAGTTTTCTTTCTCCTCTAGGAGGGTACAAAACCCCTGACCTGTGTCTGGCCAGTGATGATTGGCCCTGTGCTGATCACATGCACCCTACCAAGAAAAAAAAACCCTCTTTAGCAATACACACCAAACTGGGCATGTGCAGAGTGTTTCCATACGATATGTCTTATCAGAAGATAAGAGGGGGACACTGGAAGAAGGGGAGGATCAGGGAAGCCAGGATCAAACTGCATTTTTAGACAATGTAGAGGATTAACCCCTTAGTTCGCACAGTGAGTATATCAAGCATGCTTTACTGCATATACAGACTGATTTTACTGTTGTGGGTTTAATAACATTTTAATATACATATACAAAACTCCCTCCAATAGATTGAATAGAATCTAGAGCCTGGGCTGTTTTGCATCTATGTACAGACATATGAGTGTCTATGAATAAGCCAGCTTCTCCAATCCAATTCTCAACGTGTGTGATCGGTGCGGGGATGTACTGTGTGTGATCGATCAGTGCAGGGTATGTACTGTGTGTGACCGGAGCGGGTGTGATCGGGGGTGATGTACTGTGTGTGATCGATCAGTGCAGGGTATGTACTGTGTGTGATCGGTGCAGGGGATGTACTGTGTGTGACCGGTGCGGGGGATGTACTGTGTGTGATCGATCAGTGCAGGGGATGTACTGTGTGTGGTCGGTGCAGGGGATGTACTGTGTGTGGTCGGTGTGTGGTCACTGCTAGCCTGTCACCACAACCCACCCCCCCCCCCCCCCCCCCCCCCCCCCCCGTGACAGCACTTTGCGCACCACTACCAGGGAATACGACATCGCTCCTGTAGTAGGAGAATTACAGTAAGGCTGTTGTCTCGCGAGATTTGCTGAGAGGAACTGTGAGCGGGACCCTTCAGTTTTATATCGGAGAGGAGGTGAGTGTGTGAGAGGAGTCATGTGTCCGACACCGGAACCTCCGACACCGTGGACACACCGACCACCTCTGTGTCTATATGGGGGGAGGGGGTGTGCTCTGTGTACAGTGCGGGGACTACAACTCCCATTATTCCCTCAAGAAACACTCAGCATTCCTCCTCTCTGTGTGTTCCTCACCTCATATCCCCCGTGTGTGGTGTCCTCCTATCACCTCCTGTGTGCTCTGCACCCCCATCTCCTCTCAGCTCCTTCCCCACCATCCCCTGTCTATCCCTCCATTGCTGTCCCTGGTCTCTGTCCTGACTCCTCTATACCAGTGCTCTCCAAACTGTGGCCCGGGGGCCTGATGCAGCCCCTTGCTTGTTTTTATCCGGCCTTTGGGGCACTGTTTCCATCCACAGACACCAACAATGGGGCAACATTCCCCTCACTGACTCCAATGAAGGGGCACAATGACACCAGTGATGGCCCCTATTCCTCCCAATGACACCAATGATGGCCCCTATTCCTCCCAATGACCTACCAATGATGGCCCCTATTCCTCCCAATGACACCAATGATGGCCCCTATTCCTCCCAATGACACCAGTGATGGGGCATTGTTTATACTTTCTGACATTGGGACCTTTTCTACTCCAGTCACAGTCTGGTCCACCCTGAAGTCTGAAGGACATTTAACGTGCCCTTTGTTTAGAACGTTTGGGGACCTATGCTCTGTACCCATTCTTTGTCTCTCTGTCCATCTATACCCGTCCCCTTTCTGTCTGTTCCTGTCTCCTGTCCATCCATCTGTCCCACTGTACCCATTCTTTGCCTGTCCCCCACCTTTCTGTCCCTCTGCTCCGGTCCGTCTGTCCCTCTGCTCCCGCCTGACTGTCCCTCTGCTCCCGTCTGTCCCCCGTCTGCCCCTCTGCGCCCGCCTGTCTGTCCCTCTGCGCCCCGCCTGTCTGTCCCTCTGCTCCCGTCTGTCTGTCCCTCTGCTCCCGCCTGTCTGTCCCTCTGCTCCCGCCCGTCTGTCTCCCTCTGCTCCCGCCTGTCTGTCCCTCTGCTCCCGCCTGTCTGTCCCTCTGCTCCCGCCTGTCTGTCCCTCTGCTCCCGCCTGTCTGTCCCTCTGCTCCCGCCTGTCTGTCCCTCTGCTCCCGCCTGTCTGTCCCTCTGCTCCCGCCTGTCTGTCCCTCTGCTCCCGCCTGTCTGTCCCTCTGCTCCCGCCTGTCTGTCCCTCTGCTCCCGCCTGTCTGTCCCTCTGCTCCCGCCTGTCTGTCCCTCTGCTCCCGCCTGTCCGTTCCTCTGCTCCCGTCTGTCCCTCTGCTCCCGTCTGTCTGCTCCTCTGCTCCCGTCTGTCTGCCCATTTGCCCCTCTGCTCCCGTCTGTCTGTCCGTCTGTCTGTCCCTCTGCTCCCGTCTGTCTGTCCCTCTGCTCCCGTCTGTCTGTCCCTCTGCTCCCGTCTGTCTGCCCATCTGTCCCTCTGCTCCCGTCTGTCTGTCCCTCTGCTCCCGTCTGTCTGTCCCTCTGCTCCCGTCGTCTGTCTGTCCTCTGCTCCCGTCTGTCTGTCCCTCTGCTCCCGTCTGTCTGTCCCTCTGCCCCGTCTG